TTTTAAGTAATTTAAAATTCTTTTCTCTTAGATTAATTGAAAGATGTTTAGTAGAGAGAAGTAATTTTAATGATGGGGGAGAACAGGCTGGTGGTGGCTTTGGAAGGTCCTGAGCAGGGGATTTTTTGGGAATTGAGCAGAGATTGTTAAGACTGAAGGAAAAAAGGGCGGTGAAGAGGTTTGCCCCCGTGGCCACTTACATGTGGTTGGTTTACATGTGTTTTAGGTTTGCCGTCCTGCTCTGTTCTTGACAACCTCTTCTGGTAAGGCTAATAAAGAAATGAGTAGGCTCAGATGGATTCCCTCTTCCAGAGTTAGTCTGCTTGCACTTATCCTATGTAAAAGTCCTGTTTCATACACTTGAGCTCTAATTTTCTCGCCCCAAGGATATTATGTTGTAAAGGGATTAATATAAATAGAAGGCATTGCTTTAAGCCCTGTACTTCATTGGTTTAATGAAGACTGGGGAAAACAGGAATCAGTCAAGTGTGTTGAGGATCAGTGATTTCACATTTATGAAACATATAGCTTATTTACAGTCTTCAAGAGAAAAAATTCTATAGGATCACAAAACCATCATTATCACTGGTAACATATCCAAAGATCTTGCCAACATTTTTCTGATTCAGACTATTAACTTTTATATTAATATATGGTAAAAAAGGATATTCATTCAAAAGATCTTGTAAACAGGCAAAGTTGGAACATAGTGAGTATACTTAGGAAACTCCAGACAAATAGCAACCACATTTTAGGGTGCTTTTTCCCAATGATAAGGACAAAGTCAGGATGTAATAATAATAGCAGTAGTAATTGAAATTTAATTAAGGGCCGATCATCTGTTAGGCACTTTTCTATCTGCTTTGAATGTATTTATTATCTTATGTCACTCTTACAAAATCTCTCTGTGATAAGTGCTGTTCTATTCCTATTTTATTGATATGGAATCAAAAAACCAAAAATTCTATAGAATGCACTGATGTACACAAAGAGAATAGAATGCATCTGAACTTGAGGATATCAGGGAATTAATCTATGTCCAGTCCAAGGATGTTGAAAAGTATTTAGTAGACACAGAAGACAATAAAGTTTATAAAGTTGACGTAAAAAAGAAAGAGTATAACAAAAAGCATATTCACAAACTCAACTAGGTGGTCAGCTTGGCTTACGGAACACTAAAATAGCAGGCTATGTTTTGTTTGTTTTCTTAGCTTACCACTACGTGGTGTGCTGAAAAGCTTTTAAATCTCTGCAGCACTCATGCATTGTGGAAAGAGCTAGGCTCTGGGCAGCTTCCATGCTTGAGTTAAATCATCTGTGGAGACCTGACATATTGGTTGCAAATATATTATGTCACTACCACTTTAAGTACAAGTAAAATAAACACACAAACAGATGATAGTAGTGATGGTAATATTTTTGGAGCAACAGCAGTATGCTATGCTTTGATTAGAGAGAATTGAACTTGACATGGATCTTATTTACTGTTTTAAAGTTAACATATTTTTCTTTTCATTCCTTCAAGAAGAAAAGGGCTAAAACAGTAGTCAGCACTTTACTAGCACTTAGTTGGTGATGGTGGGCTATTTATTTGGTTTTAGCTGTGGCTGTCAGTAAAATAGGAACCTTAGCATACCACAGGTGCCCACAATGTGCAACACAGGCCACAGAAAAGCACTTAGTAGCTGAGTGTAATCAAATTTGTAAAATCTGATCCAAAAGAGCATCTTACGGGCCGGCCCGTGACTCGGGAGAGTGCGATGCTGAGAACACCAAGGCCCCGGGTTCGGATCCTATATAGAGATGGCTGGTTAGCTCACTGGTTGAGCGTGGTGCTGACAACACCAAGCCAAGGGTTGAGATCCCCTTACCGGTCATTTTAAAAAAAAAAAAAAAAAAAAAAAAACAAAAGAGCATCTTACTGTTTATCAGAGCACTATAATAAATCTTTTGTAAACTATAGAATTTATTTGTAATGTGAATTATCTCTTAATTTGTCTGTTTTTAAGTTTGAATTTTTGTATACATGTGGTCTTCTTAAAGTAAGACACTTCTGAAATTAATGGAAACCCTAGCAAATTTAAGGTAATCAAACATAATATTCATTCAACACTGAAAAGATGCCATATACTAAGCACAAAGCTGGGTAAGAGTGGTGGCCATGAATAAGTCCATTTATGCCCTTAAGTTGCTCAGCTGGGGTGGGGAAGGGGAATTCTGATGTGTTAAATATTCTTTTCTTGGAAAGTCGAAAATGGAATAGGCACCTTTCCTACTATAACACATCTCTCCGATGACTTCTTGAAGGCAATGCCATAATCTTTCTGAAATCTTCCCACAAATAACTGAAAACACAATCAGGTGATGGATTTGTGTTGTCACAAAATATCGAAAGTTACAATGAGGAGAACTTGGCAAGTCTTGGGGAGCAGAGTTCCTGGAGCCCTAAACTGTACCTACATGTTGTCTTTCAGTGTCATAGCCCGAAGGGACATCAGATTCTTGTGTCCACCCAACTCCACGGTCCCATTCCCCTCCTTCCTTTTTTAGAGGAAGAAACTAGTGCTCAGAAAAGCTAAGAGAGCAGCTGAAACTGGATTCAGGCTTTTTGATCCTTAAAATTTTTAGCTGATTTGCTGGGTGATTCTGTTCCTCCTCTTTCGCAGGTAGGAAAGCTGTATAGCTGTGACGTAATTTGGGGTTTGAAGGGGTGTTCTCTTGCTCCTTTTCAGTCAAATTTAAATAACTTGTAAGCAAAAGGTGTGGTGGCAACAGATGATAGGTGGTAAAAGTGTCCACAAGCACAGCCCGAACAGACCCGTTCCAGGCTCAGGGACTTTGTTATCCACTTAGTCCTTAATGAACCCACCGCTTTCCCTTAACTCCGACCAGCCACTCCTCGAGGATTAGGCTGGTGGATGGAAGAAACTACAAATCCCAGGACGCAGTTCCCCCTCCGAACGCCTATAGTGCATGGTTGCTACCCTCATTGCATTCTGGGAAATGTAGTTTCTCATTAGTAACTACACTGTGTAGGAAACCAGGGCTATTAGTTTGAAGGGATCCGCCCCTTCATTGACCCCGCCCCAGGTTGCTTAGGAGATGAGAGACGCCGAATCTTGGTCCTTGTAGTCGTGCGGGGCAGGACAGGTGTAGAGGGAAGTCCTCCGAGGTCTGTACCTCGAGGACGTCCATGGAGACTCATGACAGCTCCTGCCAGGCCTGGTGCGACAGTAGGCAACGCTGGTATGAGTTCGGACCCACGGACCTGCTGCAGCGCAAGGGCTCCCTGACCCTCCGCTCCCATCACAAGAGATACTCGAAGCCAGTATTGGTGTATTCCTGGTGAGAGAGCTCCCCGAAGTTCCCGGGATAATAATGCTAATTATTCTCCTTTAGGTACTGGGGGAGGGAGGAGAGGGGAAAGGGTGGGACAGGAGAGGAAAGGAGAGTAGTAGAGAGGGGACAGGGGAGAAGTAAGGAAGCAGCAGAAGAGAATGAGAAAGGAGGGAGAAGAGGAGAGAAAGAGGAAAAGAGAAGAAAGAGGAGAGAAAGAACAAGGTGAGAGGAGAGAAGAACTGGACAGGAGAGAAGAGAGAAAAGAAAGGGAAACAGACCTTGGAAGGAGAGATGGAGAGGCTGGGAGTGAGAGTTGGGGCAGCTTAGGAGGGGATAGGAGAGCCCTGCAGGAACCGCTCCCCAGCTCACACTGAGATCTGCTGCAGCCGAATCCCTGCACACCTGAGGTTTGAGATCATCCACTCAGGGGAAGGAGTTGGGGGTGTTTGCAGAGTCCTGAAAATCATGTTTCTGAGACAAGTACTTATTCATGAAAGGCAGGGCCCGTTAGAAGGCCAGGGGCACAGCAGGAGGGAGATGTATGTTCAGAGGACCAGCTTCCAGGGCTGTCATTTCTTCTGTGTGTGTGTGGGGGGGCACACCGAGTGATTTGGAAGAGGTTCCTAAATATCCCCTAGGCTACTTACCAGGACTCTTCTGGCCAGAGATTGCAAACTGGCATCTCCCACTGGGTAAGACCAACAGACATACTTTGGCCTGCACTGTTTACAATTTTTCTTAATTAGTTGGCCATATTAAAAACTAGGAAATTTACATAAAAATCCAGAGTATGTCTTCTCCTGAAATGTTGAAAGGCATGCTAAGAGAGGATTTTATTCCTCCTGGGAGCTATGAACGTACCAGAGCTGAGCGCTGGCCACTCCTTAAGATGGTACTTGTTCTCCCTCTAGTAACTTCACTCAGAAACGTAGTTCTTGCCTGGCCCCAGGAAGCATTTGGCTTATTTCCTGTGCTTTAGGTTTTGGGCTTGGAATTCATTCAGAGATTCTCTTTTATTTACTAAATGTCACAGTGACCAATACCAACACCATGACTTATAACTGGGAGAAAAGTGGGGACTTTTAGGGCAGTTAGGATTCATTTCTTTGAGTCAACTTTCCTGGCTATACTGTTGACAGTAATTAGTCTCAGAGAATTTGGAATATTTGGGGGAGGTGGGCAGAAAGGGAGAAATGAAAAGAAGTCACACATTTTATCTACTTTATACTTTTGCTTTTGAAAGGAGATGAATGATTTTGATGCTAGCCCTAGAGCTAAGCCCTACTAGATCCCATTTATTCATGTAATGTATGTTAGACCTGCAGTTTCTGTCTTGTAAACTTTCTAAAGCCTACTCCCTGCTTTCCCACAAACTTACTTCCTTTTACTTCTCATCCCTAAAACTGACTCTGCCTACTTTGAACTCAGTATGAGAGGTTACATAGATTTGGAATTCAAAGCTATTCTGAGAAACAGAAAATCCTCTTTTAGCCTCATATAGGGCTTACCTCATGGCCCTCAAGCAAAACACTTAGCTCTTCTGTGGTTCTGTTACTCTGACTTGGGTCGTAATATAAATCACCACTGCAAGTTATTGTTAAAGAGAAAGACCTTTTGCAAAGGGATAGTGCTTCTGCTCTCTGCTGCACTACAATTGCTTTGAAAAGTTTCCTGTGAACATTATAGACATCAATAGCAAAACCACAGAAGAACATAAATGAGAAGGAGGTGACGAACCTGGTAAGGGGAGAAAGATAGCGGAACTCTGTAAATCATTCCAGCCACTGCTGAAAATGTGGAGGGCTCTCATGCTGTTTGTTATAGAAAGAAAATTTGAAAACGGGAAGACTTAGATTCAACCCAGCAAGCATTTATGTGTCATTCACTTTGCTACGTGTTGGGAATACAGAGATGGAAAAACAGATTCAATGAGATAAGCGTGTAAAGCATTTAGCTTCATGCCTGGAACATAGTATGCAGTCAATAGTATGGTAGCTAATACTATTTATTCAATATAACAATGGTTAAAAGTTTGGGCTCTAGGTTTGAATACAAACTCTACTGCTATGTGATGTGGCAAGTGACTTGACTGCTCTAGGCCTCTGTTTCTGCAACTGTAAAATGAGGATAAGATTATTGTAAGATTAAATGAGGTATTAGTATGTGAAGTACCCTTTTTAACATATAGTCTGCCACATAGTAAGCACAGTAAAGGTTATTTATATGTATGAGTATTAGGACATGGTCTTTGACCTCAAGGAATTTCATAGGCCAGTGAAATACCCTCCTCAAGGAGAATAATGCTAATAAATTGAGTTTCATCTGATTTGTGCAAAATAGAGATGAGTATAAGAAGCATAGGTAATGGGGTGTGTGTGTGTGTGTGTGTGTGTGTGGTTTCCTGAGCAGGGTTTTGGAGGAAGAATAGGTGTTCCATACATGGACCCAAGAGAACAGGCAAGTGTGATGGGATAGTGGGAAGCAGCACCACAGAAAATAGAAGTGGTTCTCTGTAGCTGGCAAATATAGTTGATCCTCATTATTTGTGGATTTTGTATTTCTAAATTCACCTACTTGCTAACATGTATTTGTAACTCGAAATCAATACTTGAGGCACTTTTGTGGTCATTCGCAGACATGTACGGAGTGGTGAAAAAAGGCAAAAAATTTGAGTCACCCAACATGCGTGTTCCCAACTGAGATCCAATAACATGACACTTAACCTTCTTTGTTTCACTTCTCATACTGTAAACAAGCATCCCTTTCATGGTGTAGTTAATGCTACATGTTTTTGCATTTTTGTTGATGATATTGTTAAAATGGCCCCCAGGCATCGTGCTAAAGTGCTGTCTAGTGTACCCAAGCACAAGAAGGCTGTGAGGTGCCTTACAGAGGAAATACACGTGTCAGATAAGCTTCATTCAGGTGTAAGTTATAGTGCTTTTGGCAGCGAGTTCAATGTTAGTGAATCAACACATAGATTAAATAAGGTGTCTTTAAACAGAAACACATGTAAAACAAGGTTATGTATTGATTGGTTGACAAAAATATACCAGAGGCTCACAGGAACTTAAGCCTATATTTCCGCTAGGAGCAATTGTTCAGTGTTTGCTAATTGTGACTTTATAGAACATACAAATAATAAGAATCAACTTTAAAATTTGAGAAACTCTAGCATTTTCTTAGCTGGCTGTATTACTGGGATTCTTGTTTTTCTTCTCCATCCAACCAATCAGCAAGATCTATCCTAGAAAATCTGCATAAAATTCAGATTGTATAAATTTCTAAATGAATAATGTCATTGAACACTTTGTTTACATGCATTTTGGTCATAATTGTTTGCTTTCTATTGATCTATTTTGTTATATATTATAATTTTTACTGAATTTTAATATATTTTATTAGTGAGTTTTTTTTAATTGATGAACACCAAATATCTATAATACACCACTTGGGTGGTCTCTCAACTGAGTATTTGATCAATTAAGTGACAGTACCTATAGGTACAACATAAAATCTGTAACTGGGAGATATTCTGACTTACCTCTGATTTTATAGTTTAAACATTTGGATGTTTCCTGTGTTTCTCTTTATCTGGCATCTAATACAAGTCTGTCTGACCTCACTGCACATATTAAAAACAGTTGTGTATGATAAACATGATAAAGTGATATACTCAGAATGGTTGTTAGGGGATATCTCTGGTCCATAACTGGGATAAGAAATTGCCAAAGAGCCATCTCCCATCTCTTCCTTGCAGCTGGAGTGGTAGGTCGATACAGCCATATCACCCTCATCACACCTTGATGTTTTTGAGTGAGAGATAAGTTTTCTAGAAGTTATCTTTTCCTTCCTCACTCCTGTAGCAATTATGGAGCCATATCATCAGGCTCTCGTTAGAAAGTCTGAATTGAGGGGAAATTTTCTCTTGGGATATCTTCCCACTCATTGGAATAATGGAGTACTAAGAACCAGAACAATTTAGACTTGCCCTTAATAAATTCTTTCATGTGAGGCTTGTTCTTATTCATTCATTCACTCACTCATTCATTCAGTCACTCATTCATTCATTCATTCTCATCTTTTCCTTGGCCAAATTAACATCTGGTAACAAGTAATAATAATTTAAAGCAAAGAAATTCATTCAGATCTCCATGGAGACAGTTCCTGCTCTGGTCTCCATGGTGATACTTAGTTTTAAAGACTCAAGTTAATTTTATGTATTCGTAATTTCAATTACTCTTCTTTCCTGCCTAAGCCCTAAATTAATGAGCCTGGATGTTTTACTCCTCCCTGCAATCCCCCATAATAGGAAGAAAGCAGAAAGAGAAAGGGAATAAAATGAAGAAAAACAAAATGTGGTGAAAATTGTGGGGTAAGGAACTTCATATGTGCAGGGTAATAAATTAAAATTAAAGGGGAAAATGAATCTTTCTGTAAAGCTCTTCAGACTTGCACCCCATTGTGTTGTTTGAACAAGGAGGTCATATGTATTTAAGGTACTTCACATTCAGAGGAGAACCCACTTCTGAGGCACCAGAACACCATTAGTGTACTTAAGTAGAAAATAGTCTCTGAATTTTCTAATTTGCTGTACCGTTCTTCCTGTATTTAATCAATGATTTCCTTGGGTACTAACCTGGAAGTATTTAGAGTCCCTCAAATCACCGAGGACCAGGCTAGAGTTATGTAGATCTTACCTAGCCAGAAACCCTGTCTTCCTACATCTCCAACACACACTCAAGATCTAGGATAAAAAGCAAAGAAAAAAACAAAGCCCCTTTAGTAACCACATGCAGCAGCCTGCCCCTTTGCTGAAATCCATAAGGGCTTCCCCTTTTACCAGCCCTCCCACCTTTAATATAGACTGAGGCCCTCAGTTGAAGACTTACTGACTCTTACTACATGCACATTTAAGACAAGTTTGGTTATATGGTTTCCATGCATACAGCATATAATTTGAGCTGGGAAGAGAAGAGGCTTTAAAGGGGTTTTTTGGTCAATAG